GGAGATTTAATCTAAATACAGTTTTTATACTATATACAGGTAATAGGTCTTGATAGAGCGCGGCATCTATATTTTCTTCATTTGTATGCACTGATAACTCACATTTATGAGGGTGAGCAAGATAGCCTGTGATCTTATTGATAGAAGCCATTTATTATACATCTTATTGGCTTACAAGTAAATTTTTTATATTCAGTTTTTTATATTCAGCCCCCCTACTAATACTTACCTGAGCCTTATCGCAATCCAGCCTCGGCTCTCAGGGAACTCTCCCTCCTCATTGGCTGAGACAGTAGAGGGAGCCATTGGCTTCCACCGCTGTCAATCACACCCAGTGAGCCATTGAGGAGAGAGAGGGGGCAGGGCCGAGCCACAGCACTGTGTGTGAATAGCCACACAGAGGGAGTGAGCCTGCTTGGGTGTGCCCCGATAGCAAGCTGCTTGCTCTGGGGGGACTTGGCAGGAGGTAGGGTCCAGGATCGCCAGCAGAGGACCCAAGAAGAGGCGGATCGGGGCTGCTCTGTGCAAAACCACTGCACACAGCAGGTAAGTGTAACATGCAACATTATTTTTTTAAATTATCTTTAATATTCCTTTAAGCATGCATCTGGTCACACTTTCAGATATTTGCCATCATCAATACATTTTCTAAAACTCTAGTGTTGTCTATCAACCCGTTTTTCTCCCACTGGCCATCCACATTGAATAGTTCACAGAATATAGAGCGAACTGTGAATGGCAAGTAGAGAAGGGGTAGATAAATGATATCGGGGCCTCTGTGTATGAAATCTCTTATATCCACAGCTGGTCAGAAGTATAGTGAGAGCTGTGCTTTCTGGCATAAACAAAGGATAGCTTTTGGAGTAAAGAGCAGTGCTCCATCTTTAGGACACATCCCAATAAAGGTAACAGAACACAAGAACATTTTAAAACATATTTCTGCCTGGAGTTTAGTTTACAAGTTATTTTTTCATTTCCTTTTCACATTTAAAGTGGACCTAGCATCAGATATATTTTTTGTCATGTTATGTTTCCTGCATAATAAGTAAGGTGTAAGTGTAACAGTAAGATGCATGTATTAATTCTCAAAGAGATCTCAGTACCCCTACTGAGAATACCTTTGTTTTATTTTACTCTCCAGAAGGCATCTTTGTACAGTCAATATCCAGGGATAACATCTGCTTAGATGTTGGCTCAGACATGACACAGTCTTATAAATCGTTGTGTCTGAGCAGTTTTTGGCTGTGTTCACAAATGTCAGACACAGATCATCCCCTGTTGTAACCTGTCACCTTGCTTCCTGCTACAAAGTTACAATGTTACAGTCTGATCACTGAAGAAGCAGGGATGAGGAAATGCTTCCTCCTGTCTTCTGCACCCTGAATCCAACATCTCAGCCTGGATAAATTCACTGATTGGAGCTCAAAGGCTGTTTTTTAATGATAGAAGTGAGATTTTTTTTTTTTTAAAGCTTACCTTTACTGTATAATGTGACATGTGAGGAATGTATTCATGCAAACTTGTAAAATTACTGAGTGGTTCACTTTAAATTGTAAATAAATAACCCTTAAAAGACAATACCACCAAACTGTAACTTTGCTTCTATATGCTTTATCCCTACAGAACAATTACTAATGCCAAAGTTATTGGCAAATTAATAGACCCATAACTGATGTTTCACCATCCTAGATAGGTGCCAGGATGTGTATATATTAGGTTAAGCATAGTTGTGTTTCTCTGCTTACCGGAGAGGCTGTCAGGTAAATTCAGTGTGGTATTCTCCTTATCAGAGTGCTGTGATTCATTAGTTAGGTCTGCTCATGCTGCTCTGGTGCTGTTTGAGTTTGTCTGAGTTTTGCCTACCTTCAGGAAGCTATGAAAGCCTTCCAGAACATGGGTAGGGGCTAGACAAATGAACAACATGAATATGGATACAGCTTTGGTCAATTGCAGTGGAGGGTGACCCCATTGCATGCTGGGAGTGGTATTTATGTTCTGGGAGCAGATGGGCTCTCTGGGTCTTTCTCGTGACTGGATTGCACCAAACCATGCTGGAGGCAGGCTTACCTCACCTGGCACTTGCTGCCATGCAGCCTCCGGTGGGTCGACCCAAGGGCCTGAAGTTAGAGAGAGTGACCCTGGTTCCTCAGTAAGCTGACTGAGGGAAGCTGTCTGCCAAAGATCTATCTGGTATCACTGGAGAGAATTGCTTGGAAGTTTGGAAGAAGCCAACTATTGTGTCCTTGGACTTGTGAGTACAGACTCTGAGAGATCTTGAATACTCTGTGTGCTTGCTACCCCTCTGGTGCTTAATAGTCAGCGTGGGTCTAAAAAGGAAAGGGAACACTAGCTAGTGTTCTGTAGAGCTTGTCCGATTCTTGCTACTGCAAAGGACTTTGCTCAGCTATGTTACCTTTGGGCTGTCGCAGTCTGTCATAACTGGCTCATACCTGTAACTACTACTGCAAAAAGGGACTTTGCTCACTCCTAAATCTACCTGCTGCTATATATTACAAAAGATGTTTTCTATCTACTATCATCCAAGACTTTATAAGTGTTCAACTAGGAGATCAGCTAGATGTCCTCAATGTAAAAAGTTCTGATTTGGAGTATCCTACTATAATTCCCCATCCCTATACCCAGCAGGGGAGGACTGACCATTTGGAAACTCGGGCACTGCCCGAGGGCCCGGGGTCAGTAGGGGGCCCCATGAGATGCCCCTGGTACCTTTTTCATCAGTTTTTTTGAGTATGGGCAAGGACACAGGGGCCCCATGATCCCCTATTGCCCGAGGGCCCCATGAGCTGTCAGTCTGCCTGTCAGGGCTCCCAGGTATGACCAGAGGTGTGTGACTGATGCAGGGAAACGCAGACTTCAGATATGTGATAAACAATACAATTTATTAACACTAACCATACAAACATAAACGCAGTGCAATACTAAACATAATACAGTGCAAACAAACCCAACCAATCACCCACAGATAACAGTACATACAAGCAAGCGTCGTCAGGCAGGCCGGGTCAATATCAATTGGGCAGGTAGGTACAGGGGGGAGCAAGCAGAGAATGGTCGGGGTCACAGGCCAGGTTCAGCAGGTAGCAAGCAGCGTAGTACAGAGGGTCAGGCAGAGGGATGGTCAGGGTCACAAGCCAGAGATCAAAACAGGTAACAAGCAGCGTAGTACAGAGGGTCAGGCAGAGGGACAGAAACAGATGCAGGACAGATACAGGGCCCAGGACAAACACAACACCAAGGCAGAGTCTGTGGGTCTGGCCATCCCTTAAATACCCCAGCATCATCAGTTCCAGGTGTTAGCTGGCTGAAAGGTTGAGTCTCTGATTGCTGGGAGCACCCGCTGGCCAGCCCTGGTACTGCAGATCAAAAGGCAGGTGAGTCCCACCATTGCTGGCCAGTCCATTCCTAACAGTACCCCCCCTCCAAGGAGCGGCCTCAGGATGCTCCAAACAGTCCTAGCTGGGCAAAATGTTCCACCGCCCGGGTCTGGTAACTGGCGGGATATCAAAGACTGGCCACACCGGGCTGGACTCCGGGCAGAGGCACACCGGGCTGGACTCCGGGCAGAGGCACACCGGGCTGGACTCCGGGCAGAGGCACACCGGGCTGGACTCCGGGCAGAGGCACACCGGGCAGAGGCACATCAGGCAGAGGCACATCAGGCAGGACTCCGGGCAGAGGCACATCGGGCAGAGGCACATCGGGCAGGACTCCGGGCAGAGGCACATCGGGCAGGACTCCGTGCAGAGGCACATTGGGCAGGACTCCGGGCAGAGGCACATCGGGCAGGACTCCGGGCAGAGGCACATCGGGCAGGACTCCGGGCAGAGGCACATCGGATTACCAGGCGAAGCAGCAGGCAGCAGGGGCCACCAGGCGGAGCAGCAGGCACCGAGCCCCCGGGCAGAACAGCAGGCACCGGGCCCCCGGGCGGGGCGACATGCATCGGGCCCCCGGGCGGAGCAGCAGGCACCGGGCCCCCGGGCGGAGCAGCAGGCACCGGGCCCCGGGCGGAGCAGCAGGCACCGGGCCCCCGGGCGGGGCGACCGGGCCCCGGGCGGGGCAGCAGGCACCGGGCCCCCGGGCGGAGCAGCAGGCACCGGGCCCCCCGGGCGGGGGCGACAGGCACCGGGCCCCCGGGCGGGGCGACAGGCATCGGGCCCCCGGGCGGGGCGACAGGCATCGGGCCCCCGGGCGGGGCGACAGACAACGGGCCCCGGGCGGGGGCAGCAGGCTCCGGGCCCCCGGGCGGGGCGACATGCATCGGGCCCCCGGGCGGAGCAGCAGGCACCGGGCCCCGGGCGGAGCAGCAGGCACCGGGCCCCCGGGCGGGGCGACCGGCGCCGGGCCCCCAGGCGGGGCGGCGGGCGCCGGGCCCCCAGGCGGGGCGGCGGGCGCCGGGCCCCCAGGAGGGGCGACAGGCATCGGGCCCCCAGGCGGGGCGACAAGCATCGTGCCCCCAGGCGGGGCGACAGGCATCGTGCCCCCAGGCGGAGCGGCGGGCGCCGGACCCCCAGGCGGAGCGACAGGTCTCGGGCCCTCAGGCGGAGCGGCGGGCGCCGGACCCCCAGATGGAGCGACAGGTCTCGGGCCCTCAGGCGGAGCGGCGGGCGCCGGACCCCCAGGCGGAGCGACAGGTCTCGGGCCCTCAGGCGGAGCGGCGGGCGCCGGACCCCCAGGAGGAGCGACAGGTCTCGGGCCCTCAGGCGGAGCGGCGGGCGCCGGACCCCCAGATGGAGCGACAGGTCTCGGGCCCTCAGGCGGAGCGGCGGGCGCCGGACCCCCAGGCGGAGCGACAGGTCTCGGGCCCTCAGGCGGAGCGGCGGGCGCCGGACCCCAGGCGGAGCGACAGGTCTCGGGCCCTCAGGCGGAGCGGCGGGCGCCGGACCCCCAGGCGGAGCGACAGGTCTCGGGCCCTCAAGCGGAGCGGCGGGCGCCGGACCCCCAGGCGGAGCGACAGGTCTCGGACCCTCAAGCGGAGCGGCGGGCGCCGGACCCCCAGGCGGAGCGACAGGTCTCGGGCCCTTAGGCGGAACGACAGGTCTCAGGCCCCCAGGTGGGGGGGGGGGCGGCGGGCACCGAGTCACCAGGCACAACCGTGGGCTCCGAGTCAACTGGGATGACCGCTGGCACTGGGTCAGACATTGGATCGTCTGGCTGGACAGCGGGCATCGGGTCACCAGGCATCAGGTCATTTGGCTCGACAGCGGGCACCGCGTCATCTGGCAAGGCAGTGGGCTCCGAGTCAACTGGTATGACCGCGGGCACTGGGTCAGACATTGGATCGTCTGGCTGGACAGAGGGCACTGGGTCACCAGGCATCAGGTCATTTGGCTCGACAGCGGGCACCCGCGTCATCTGGCAAGGCAGTGGGCTCCGAGTCAACAGGCACGACAGTGAGCACCGGGTCATCAGGTACCGGATTGTCTGGCTCGACAGCGGGCATCGGGTCACCAGGTATGACAGCGGGCACTGGGTCACCAGGCATCAGGTCATTTGGCTCGACAGCGGGCACCGGATCAGGTACCGGATCAACAGCGGGCATCGAGTCAACTGGCCTAATAGGATCGTCAGGCTGGATCAGTTCATCATGCTGGGTAGAGGCATCAGGCTGAATGCCGGCGTCCGGCTGAGTAGAGGCTTCAGGCCGAGTAGAGGCTTCAGGCCGAGTAGAGGCTTCAGGCCGAGTAGAGGCATCAGGCCGAGTAGAGGCTTCAGGCCGAGTAGAGGCTTCAGGCCGAGTAGAGGCATCAGGGCCGAGTAGAGGCTTCAGGCCGAGTAGAGGCTTCAGGCCGAGTAGAGGCATCAGGCCGAGTAGAGGCATCAGGCCGAGTAGAGGCATCAGGCTGAAGAGAGGCATCAGGCTGCATACAGGCATCAGGCTGAAGAGAGGCATCAGGCTGAGTAGAGGCATCAGGCTGAGTAGAGGCTTCAGGCTGAACCACGGAAGGCAGGCTCACCGGTTTGGATACTGGCAGGATGGTATTGGTTGGAAAGAATTTTCGCTTTTTTTCTGGTTTTAACTACTGGAGCACTGCAAGTAAACGCAGGTCTGCAAACGAATGGAGCAGCTGGAGACAGAGAAGAACTGGAGGATGGAACAGGAGAGGGAGCGGTTGCTACAGAGGGCTCTTTTACAGGGTTAAAGGCAGGATAGGTGCAGCGAGTGGGAACAGGGTACTGACATGCGGTAGATAGCAGAGCAGGAGGAGCTGTTGGGAATGCAGGAATAGAGTTTTGAGGAAATAGATTAGAAGAGGACTGGGTCTTTGTAAGCTGACTGAGGCTGGGTGCAACAAATCTGTCCATGTCTGCAGTATGGGTTGAACAAAGCTGAGCTTACACAAAGCCTGTCTGGTCAATGACTGTACTGCGTTTATACAATCTCTTAGTGTCTGTGGTGAACATGTGGAATAACGCTCCAGAAAGTAACCCACATCATCCTCTAATAACCACACCAGGGACTCTACCTGGTCTGCACTAAATGGTGGCAAAAATTCATCCCTGCATTCGGGGGTACCAGATGAAACCAACTCAGCACAAACCTCAATCAATGGCTGCACCTCAGAGAACTCTGTGCCCTGATCTACTAGAACATGAGCGAGCCGTATACATTCTAGCAGTTCATCCGGGTATACTCCTTCAGAGTTTGATAAGCATACTCCCTGTCATCAAACACTAGCAGATATAAATATTCAACCCTCATCAAGATCCTTCCTTCCCATCAACAAGCAAGATGGCTTCCCTGTGCAGCCACTTCTGGTCAGGATTGGCCTTGGTGTAATGTCAGGGCTCCCAGGTATGACCAGTGTGTGTGACTGATGCAGGGAAACGCAGACTTCAGATATGTGATAAACAATACAATTTATTAACACTAACCATACAAACATAAACGCAGTGCAATACTAAACATAATACAGTGCAAACAAACCCAACCAATCACCCACAGATAACAGTACATACAAGCAAGCGTCGTCAGGCAGGCCGGGTCAATATCAATTGGGCAGGTAGGTACAGGGGGAGCAAGCAGAGAATGGTCGGGGTCACAGGCCAGGTTCAGCAGGTAGCAAGCAGCGTAGTACAGAGGGTCAGGCAGAGGGATGGTCAGGGTCACAAGCCAGAGATCAAAAACAGGTAACAAGCAGCGTAGTACAGAGGGTCAGGCAGAGGGACAGAAACAGGATGCAGGACAGATACAGGGCCCAGGACAAACACAACACCAAGGCAGAGTCTGTGGGTCTGGCCATCCCTTAAATACCCCAGCATCATCAGTTCCAAGTGTTAGCTGGCTGAAAGGTTGAGTCTCTGATTGCTGGGAGCACCCGCTGGCCAGCCCTGGTACTGCAGATCAAAAGGCAGGTGAGTCCCACCATTGCTGGCCAGTCCATTCCTAACACCGCCCCTGATCCCCAGTTCTACAATAAACTCCAAAAAACAAAACATGCCCTAGACTGGTCATTAAAGACAACGAGCAGAAGTGTGTGTGAGTTTATTTGACTGAAGAAATACATTGTGCCTGGCTGCGAGGCGGGAAAAAGGGGAGCCCGTGGAAAACATATAAGCGGCTCCTTCGGGGATAATGCTACACTGAATTGCTATAATTGGTTTGGTTCTTAAGGGGATAAACAACTGAAATGGTTAAATTAGATTAGATTGGCAATCAGTAGGGCGAATATTAGGGTCTTTTTGCTGTTCATTACAGTTTTGGTTTTAGTAAATCTAAGTAGGGTATCCATGCTGCACTGCCCCAAGCGCTGCAGCTTGGAGAACCTAAACTTTAGCAAAACAGGCTGTTTTTTAGCATCAGTATTAAATCAATTTCAGAAAAGATATGATCTATTGCTGGAAAAAGAGCTTGCCTGACCATGTCGACAGTTTGACAAATAGGAGTTGGTGAGTTGGAAAGTGACCACTGGAACATGGCTCATTCTCCTAGGCCACTTTTAATGTATTTTTCAGCAATATGGGAATTTGGGGAAGTTTCATGAAAAAACTTTGATTAATTTCTTAAAAATCAATTATTTATGTCACTCATCTATGACATTTCATATATTATATTCTGATGAAAAAGGTTTTGATATTAGGATTGTTCTATGAAGGATCTTTATTTTGCCTCCTCCAAAATGTGTTCCCTCCAGATACTTTCCTACTGAAACATTTCTGCTTTTGTCAAGGACTAAACACTAGTTTTGTGTTCTGTTAAAACATTTCCAAATGTTTTCTGTTATCAAATTGGGCAAATAAATAATTTTTGTTCATAAATTTAGGCCAAAATGTAGTCTGTTTCATATATTATATTCTGATGAAAAAGGTTTTGATATTAGGATTGTTCTATGAAGGATCTTTATTTTGCCTCCTCCAAAATGTGTTCCCTCCAGATACTTTCCTACTGAAACATTTCTGCTTTTGTCTAGGACTAAACACTAGTTTTGTGTGTTCTGTTAAAACATTTCCAAATGTTTTCTGTTATCAAATTGGGCAAATAAATAATTTTTGTTCATAAATTTAGGCCAAAATGTAGTCTGCTTCATTTCTTTGGTGAAAAAAAACCCAAATCATTCTATGTTATTTAGTCTGTAAAAGTCTGTAATAGAGCCCACAAACTAATGTATGGGATATATATTTGAAAATTGATCAGTCCTGATGATTTTTTTTACACTGTTGTTTATAACAGTGATGATCACTTTTATAAGCAATAGTTAACTGTCATGAATAGCTTGCCATTCATGACAGCTTGCTTACTGTTGACATGAAATGATTGGCTACAGCTTGTCCAATCACAGCATCGCAACAGTAAGTAAGCTGTTCATGAACAAAAGCCATTCATGAGAGTTTGCTTACTTAATATCATGTGATCACTGTGACTGGTCATAGCAATCACATGATACCCCAGCTGCTCATAGCGGCTGGGTGTCAAACACCATGACTCACTGTGTCAGGTGGGACACAGCAGTTATGGGATTGCTCCACTGCGCCCCAGGGGGTGTGCTAGTACTAGTGCTCATGTGCCTCTATGCCTGCATCTGCGCAATAAATGTACTGCGAGTGGATCAGCAAGTGGTTAAAAGAACATCAAAACAATGTATTATCTGCTGTTCTGGTATTTATATACACTGCTCAACAAAATTAAAGGAACACTTTTTAATCAGAATATAGCAATCAAGTCAATTAATCTCCTGGGATATTGATCTGGTCAGTTAAGTAGCAGAGGGGGTTGTTAATCAGTTTCAGCTGCTTTGGTGCTAATGAAATTAACAACAGGAGCACTAGATGGGCAACAATGAAACAACCTCCAAAACAGGAATGGTTTTACAGGTGAAGGCCACTGACATTTTTTTTCCCTATTCATTTTTTCTTACTGTTTTTCACTAGTTTTTCATTTGGCTAGGGTCAGTGTCCTCCAGGATGGCACCTCAATACGTGCCATTGCCAGAAGGTTTGCTGTGTCTCCCAGCACAGTCTAAAGAGCATGGAGGAGATTCCAGGAGACAGGCAGTTACTCTAGGGGAGCTGGACATGACCGTAGAAGGTCCTTAACCCATCAGCAGGATGGGTATCTGCTCTTTGTGCAAGGAGGAGCAGGATGAGCACTGCCAGAGCTATACAAAATGACCTCCAGCAGGCCATTGCCTGTGAATGTCTCTGACCAAACAATCAGACACAGAGTTCATGAGGGTGGCCTGAGGACCCAACATCCTCTAGTGGGCCCTGTGCTCACTGCCCAGCATCATAAAGCTCAATTGGCATTTTCCATTGAACACCATAATTGTCAGGTACGCTATTGCGCCCTGTGCTTTTCACAGATGAGAGCAAGTTCACCCTGAGCACATGTGACAGACATTAAAGGGTCTGGAGAAGCTGTAGAGAATTTTATGCTACCTATAACATTGTTCAGCATGACCGGTTTTGGTGGTGGGTCAGTGATGGTCTGGGGAGGTATATCCATGGAGGGATGCACAGACCTCTACAGGCTAGACAATAGCACCCTGATTACCATTAGGTATCAGGATGAAATCATTGGACCCATTGTCAGACCCTACGCTGGTGCAGTGGTTCCTGGGTTCCTCCTCGTGTACGACAATGCTGGTCTCATGTGGTGAGAGCATGCAGGCAGTTCCTAAAGGATGAAGGAATTGATAACATTGAATAGCCCCCATGCTTGCCTGACCAATAGAACACCTCTGGGATATCATGTTTTTGGTCCATCCGACACCGGCAGGTTGCACCTCAGACTGTCCAGGAGCTCTGGTCCAGATCTAGGAGGAAATACCCCAGGACACCATCCATTCATCTCAATCATCCCCAATGTTGCCAGGCAGGCATACAAGCACGAGGGCCATACAAACTACTGAGTACCATTTTGTGTTGCTGCAATGAAATTTCAGCAAAATGGACTAGACTGCTGCATCATTTTTTTTCACTTTGATTTTCAGGGTGTCTTTAAATTCAGTCCTCTGTAAGTTGATAATTTTCATTTACATCAAACGATGAGGCATCCTTACGTTCCTAACACATTACCAGTCCATATCAGTATTGATTATCCAGCATGATATTTTCCCCCATTGAGATCTGATGTGTTTTCAAAGTGTTCCTTATTTTTTTTCAGCAGTGTACAAGGGGTGTCCAAGTCAAACCAGGACTTTTGAGTTTATATAATGAAAGAACACATTTCAAGGAGTAGAAACTGCATTTCTTTTT